ACCCTAAATACAGCGGCACACGGAGTCTCCTTGGCGTATTATGATATTTCTAATGAGTGCGGCAAGTATCTCATCGCCAGTTAATATTGACTCACACGTGTAGTGTCAAGTCATTTTCACCGTCTGCCGTAACTAGGTTGTTCTATTTTTTTTTTTTTTTTTTTCTCGGGAGCGTTATTGGCTAGTCAGGTTACAGAAAACATTCAGCCAATTACGTTCCCAACCCGGTAAGGAATTTACTGGCATATTTGAGGTGACGTTGCTTCGGTGGGGAGCAGGCAGCGCAATGGGAAACACGCTGGGATTTTCTGCCTGAGCCCCGGGAGCAGGACGGGGGCAGGATGCGGGGGGACAGAAAAACCGACAGACAGACGGGATTCCCGGTCCCCCTGCACGCAGGGGTTAAGATGTGCTCCCAGCAATAAGCATACTGATTTCAGGGGGATAAACGGGGGGGTTTTACAGCTCTGTCGCCACCAATCTCTCTTTCTCCCCGTGTAGACACGCACGCACGTTTCCACGCGCACCCCCATCCCGCGCACCCCACTCTGCGCTGCTTTTCATCACGCGTGTGGTGCGGGCACGGCTCCAAAACTCTACCAATCTCTTGAAAACTCATTGCTAAATTCCCTTTCCCTTCTCTCCCTTGCCAGCCTCTATCTAGACCGCTGCCTGCCCTTCCAGCCCGGGATGAGGACTCGCCGCCCATCCCTGCCGCAGCCGGGCTCTGCTCCGCGGGCGCGGAGCCCTGGGAGCAGGAGCGGGTCCGGCTGCTGGAGGAGAAGGAGGGCGAGTGAATGGGAGGATGGAAGGATGGATGGACCGACGGACAAGGCTCTGCCGCCTGCCCGGTGACCGCTGGCTGCAGGCGGAGGGTCAGCGCTGATCCCGCTGCGCCAAAGAGCGCGGAGCGGTGCGGAGGGGTGCGGTGGGGCCAGGCAAGGCCAGGCGAGGCGGGGACAACCCGGCAGCGCTGTACCCGTGTCGCGCCGGTGCCGCTGCCCACGGCTGGTGGCATGGGCACGGCTGCGCTTTGCTTGGGGGTCGGGGGGGCTGATTTGCCTGGCACCTCCGGGGGGGCTGTGAAGGCTCGGCCTCCTCCGAGGCCCAGGACATCCCAACCCCATGGGGAAAGTTACCTCCAGCCTCCTTCCTAGCTCGGCCAAGTAGCCGTGGCAGAGGAGGCTGGCTGTTGTCTGTGGCAGAAGGAGAGGATTTGCCCATTTCTCCGAGTTTGGGGGCAGCAAGAAGAGGGGTTACTCCTGTCTCTTTCTAAATAAACCAGTAACCGGGAGCTGAATTCAGCATACGAGGGAGCGCTCCCAGAGTGGGCGATGGAGACGACTGCGGGGAAGTTAACGGGAAATCCTGTCTCTGGCAGACTGGAGCCCTGGGGATGGTTCCCGTGGATTATCCTGGCCGATCCCCACAAATGTCATCGTTTTCGTTTACGAGCCGCTGCTGCCTCCTTCCTCACCCCACTCTTAATCCGCTCCTACCGGGATGCCACCCGTCATGTCCCTCGGGTGGGAGGTTTTGTTGAGCCCGGGATGACGGTCATTGCCATGGACAGTCTGTCTCAGCCCGCAGCCACGCAGGCTGCGGTGCACCCACGCGCGGACAGACGCACACCCCCGCACACGCGCAGTTATTTGCCCAGGGTAAACACGCAGAGTTAAAAGGCCCGAGTGGAGTCCAAGGGGAAAAAAAAAAAGAAAAAAAAAAAAAAAGAGAAAAAAAACAGAAAGGCTCAGTTGGACTCGAAGTTTTGGGGTCCATTTAGATTAGATTAGTAAAGACTTTTTTAAATGTCTATTTTTTACATCCCCCGGGAACAGTACGGCCGCGACAGACCCTCCGCACGTCGGCGAGCCGGTGGTGCGGGGTGGCGCGGAGAGGAGCCTCTTCCCGCTCCCCGCCGCGGCGGCGGAGCTTTGCCTCGTCGGGAATGCGGGGTCCGGCGCTCTGCCTTCTGTCTAGTGTTTCCCACAGATCTGTCAAGACCGATTTGGAAGGAGACTCCCTCATTTGGGATTAATTTCCAGGCAGATTGGAAAGTGTATCTCTACGGGGGTTTCTTTCTTTTTTTTTCTTTCTTTTTTTTTTTTTTTTTTTTCCTCCTGCCTGTTCCAGACCGAGATTTAAAACCTATGAAGTCTCGCTCACTCGCTTGGCCACAGCCAGGATGTCATAACTATCCTCAAAACTTTTCAAACTGATTTATTTCTCCGAGGTTACAGCTTTCCTTGCTGATATACGGCCGAGGCGAGACCAGGGCGACAGCGTTCCGAAGGGTAATACACCGATTTCAGTGTCACCGCTGCTGGAAGGTGCCCCGAATACAAAAAGCAAACGAAACACCCCCCTTCCCAAAACAAGGAAACAATAGTGGGGCATTAAAACATTGCTAGAGTGATATGCTCATAAATCAGGCGTTTCCCTTGAAAGTGCTAAGCCTGGAGAAGGATAGGCACATCACACATTTCTTACCCGCGGGGTATTTATTTTCCTTCGCCGGTCAACAGAGTGTCAATAACTTTTGACCGATACTGTCCAATTACGACTGTGAACCCGCGATGCGCCTTCAGTTTCTCTCAAAAAAATCAAGTCTTATAGTATTTTTTAAAAAGGAAGAAAGTTTTGACATATCGCGGAACGATTTAGTGCCGCAAAAACTGATATGCAGGATAAATGGGTGACCAAACCAGAAAGCCTATTTTTACATTTTTAATGGGTAGTGTTAACAATAATGGCGTAATTATCACTGTTTTATTAAGGCTATTTTTAACGACACGGTTAGAGGTGGAAGCTTTGGAGAGAAGAGAATAATAGGCGTATTATTCTGGGGTGTAAAGACAAGGTGGTACGATGACAGCACATAACACGTAAGAGGCGTTGAGGGGAGAGAAGACAGAACCGTGAGGGGGATATGCCCAGGAGAGCATGTAAGGGTATTTACAAGTTCCGATCCAGGACACGTTTCTGCCTCTGGTGCTCTGAATGTGGGATCCCGGCATCTCTCCGGAGGACATCTGTCTCTTCTTGATATTTTTTTTCACTTGTTGGCTGCCCGAAGCACCGCTTCCCTGCCACTGCAGGAGGCTCTGGAAATGTATACCTTGTTAGATCAAAACCTGGGAGAGGTGGGGGGGGGAAAGGGATTCCCAGTCCTAGAACATTCAGGACAAGTTTGCCAGTTGAAACTAGATCTGCTGCTTTATTGATTGCAGTGAGTAAATCGTGCAGGAATTTGGGCTTTCGATTTCAATTGCTATCGCTTCCAGACTCGTCGAGAGCCATAAAACGGCGGCTATCTTTAAATGTTAGAAAGAGCAGTAGAAACACGATCTGCGTGGCAAACTCCCGGATTTGAAAGCAGAAGAGGATTTATAGTACTTATGGTGGGAATTTAATTCGGTGGAAGGCACAGGTAAATGAAAATCGACAAGATTTCCGTGGCTCTCGTGACGAGGCTGATTTCTTTTTTTGCTTTTTTTTTTTTTTTCTCCCAGATTTGATTTTACAAGAATTGAGCTCTCAGTCCCCCCCACGCTGTGCATCTTCGCGAA